CACTCGTGAGATCGATCGACGCGACGGTGCAGCGATCACCGGCTGCCACGCCACGCCGCCGGCGCCGTCGTTCTACCGGACGTTCGTCCGGCCGCCGCCGCCGGCCACGGCGTCGTTGGCCCACCTGAACACGACCCAGATCTCGTCGAGGATGGCGCCGGCGCCGCCGCGCCAGCTGTGTCCTCCTCCGCCGCCGCCGCCGCCTGGTGATGAAGCGTACGGCGGCGAAGCCGCAGGCTGCAGCCCGGGCGCCGCCGCCGCCGCCTCGAGGCCGTAGTACGCCTCGCCTTCCTCGAGAACGCGGCCGGCGACGGCGACGGCGACGGAGAGGGCGAGCACGGCGACCACGAACACTCGTGCCATCTCGACTGATCTATCGATTGATGGATGGATACCTGCTACGAACTGCAGATGGTTCAGAAATTGAGATGCACGCTTCATTCGCCATTGTAGGGTTGGTTTTATATGCTTGGGAACTCAAAACGTTTCTTGGTGTTCAACAAAGACGTCGATCGAAACCGACGAATTAATTGACGAACTGATGGCCTGGATCGATTTAATTCAATTAATCAATTCAATTCAATGGTTAGAAAAAACGCAAGAATTAAACGAGCAGCAACGCGTGCAATTGCATCATTGATTCTCTCCAATTGGAATTTGAGACTGTCACGTTGCTACAGGAGTATAAGTTAGCTTAGAGTGAAATCCAATCAAGCATATAGTTCCAAACTTCAAAATGAAGGCAAATTAAACCAAAGGAAACAGATTGGGAGTAGTAAATTTGGGGTGAAAGAGAGTGCTCAACGGGCGTGATGATGCAATCCAGTTTCTACTTTCATGAGAGATACGTGATGAGCTAGCTCAATGGCGATCGCTCATCTCATCTGATTCTTCAGTGTGTGAGCTCTGCTGCTTATGTGGTCGCTGGCCCATCACTTTCAGTTACCGTGATTCTCACTGCTGAGTTCCTGTGGTAGATGAGGGATATGACGATGATCTTCTCTGCGGCACCAGTTCTATTTCGTCAGTGAAATTTGAGCGGTTATTCATATTGATGCTATTTCAAACCATACCCTCTTTTAAAAAAAACTGTTAAAAAATATACATTCATTTAGTTTTTTTTACTAAAGTTTGGTAAATACATAAGAAATCCTGTCAAAACTTAGCAATATCGCTAAATTATAAAAAATTTTGATATTGCCAAAATTTAGTAAGATTTATTTTGGCTATAATCTGAACAGCCCCTGAGTTGTCTATGCTTTACAAGAGGCTAGACCAGTGACGTGTCCATGCTTTACAAAAGGCCAAGTCCATATAATAGGAGAATTGTTTGGATGTATGAAGTGAGGACAAATAATTGGTTATCATGTATGTATGTTGCAACAAGTTAAGGCGTCACACCCATATAACTGGGGATGTGCTATGAGAATGGTTAAGGATAAACATTGGATCCGGTTGGTGTTCACATAGAGTGTATGAAAGCGTTGCGTGCTTGGAAGGAGGGGATGGAAGGAGGACAACTAAGCTTTTAAGATAGTATAGATAATCATGTGAAAATTGAGTTTTGTGTGGTCTAGTATATGACGAGGTTAGATATTTCTTTCCGAAGGATAGTAAGTTTGGATATTTATTTTAGGCAAGCTATGAAGATTTTGTGAGTTAGTGAGTGTGACCACTGCTTCCTAAGACAAATGCAACTAACCCTTATCAGCATCATGTGCCTTTATCTCTTTTAATTTCTATGTTTTTCTTGCACTCTATTATGATCATTCATGTATTTTTTTTCTATCATAGGATTCTGATATTTATTCTATTCCATTTCCTATACTTTAAAAATCCACGTTCAATCATAAAATCTCCATGGAAATTGACAATTCTACATTACCACTAGCAGGACCAAAATTGTAAAACACAATGGGTATATTTAGTTTACGTCAAAATTGAAAGTTTGATTAAAATTGGAACAATGTGACGGAAAAATTGGAAGTTTATGTATAGGAAAGTTTTAATATAATGGAAAATTTGGAAGTTTGAAAAAAAAATTGGAACCAAACTCGGCCAAAATCAAAAACAGGCCGCATTTCAGATTTTCTAAAACACCCCTCCGTCGGGTGGTAACCTCACCACCCCCGCTCCCCTCCGATAAAAAATCTCAAATACCAGGACTAAAATCTCAAATACAGACTTATACAGGACGTAAAGGCATAAAATCCACAAGAAAACATTTCGATTTTTTTTCAAAAACACCCCCGCTCCCCTCCGATAAAAACTCCCCACTCTCCACTTCTCTCTCTCTCCCCTCTCCGCCATCTCCAACGCCGCCTCCTCCTCCTCCTCCTCAACCCCACCCACCTCGCCGCCGCCGCCGTCGCCGCCGCCGCCGCCGCCATGAGGGAGATCCTGCACATCCAGGGGGGCCAATGCGGGAACCAGATCGGGGCCAAGTTCTGGGAGGTGATCTGCGACGAGCACGGGATCGACCACACCGGCAAGTACTCCGGCGACTCCGACCTCCAGCTCGAGCGGATCAACGTCTACTACAACGAGGCCAGCGGCGGCCGCTACGTGCCCCGCGCCGTGCTCATGGACCTCGAGCCCGGCACCATGGACTCCGTCCGCTCCGGCCCCTATGGCCAGATCTTCCGCCCCGACAACTTCGTCTTCGGCCAGTCCGGCGCCGGCAACAACTGGGCCAAGGGCCACTACACCGAGGGCGCCGAGCTCATCGACTCCGTCCTCGACGTCGTCCGCAAGGAGGCCGAGAACTGCGACTGCCTCCAAGGTAAACCCTAAATCACCAGATCTGCGCGTTTCCCCGCCTTCTCCTCTCGCTCGATTTAGCCATAGCCTTGTAGATCTAGGGGATTTGGGTCGTAGATCTGAAGAAATTCGGGCCAGATCTGGAGATTCATGAGGGAGTTTGAAGGATTAGGCGACTAATAATTTCTGGTTCTCCGAGTGATTCAATGTAGGTTTCCATTTCAACTTGTTTGAGTGATGATCTCACTCTCGCTCGCCTCGCTGCAGGGTTCCAGGTTTGCCACTCGCTGGGAGGAGGAACTGGCTCCGGGATGGGAACCCTGCTCATCTCCAAGATCAGGGAGGAGTACCCTGACCGGATGATGCTCACGTTCTCGGTCTTCCCATCGCCCAAGGTGTCCGACACTGTCGTCGAGCCCTACAATGCTACCCTCTCTGTGCACCAGCTTGTTGAGAATGCGGATGAGTGCATGGTTCTTGACAATGAGGCTCTCTACGACATCTGCTTCCGCACGCTCAAGCTCGCGACACCTACTTGTAAGTACAAAGAAGTCTCTGCAAGTCTGCAGTGATGTTTGTGTGTTTCATTTGTGGATGATCATTCAGTGATTCGGTAGAATTTAGCATAGTTTTGTGTATACTGTTTCCCTGGTGTGGCACATGCTAAACATCATGCTGTTATTTGATTATGGCTAGCAATTCTGTAATCCTCCATGAGTGTTACTAGCTGTTTATATGTTATCACTCTATATACTCTTCAGTCTTCATTTCTGTGATATGCTCTCCACATTCTGATGTGAGTTTACCTAATTCTACTGTTACCCGTCACAGTTTAGAAGGGTAAATGCACCAATGGTTTCATACATATTGCTAACTTTGGATCATCAGAAGTTCATTTTGATACTTGTTATCCTACTAAACATCTGTGTGTACCATGTATTTTGTATAATTAGTATAGCATGATAGAAGAAAAAAATGACTTTTCAATTTATGGTAATCTTCTGGGAGCATATATTTGTTAAAGCTAGGTCTTGTCTAGTTTATATGAGATTGTGCCTTGTGGTTCTTAATGATTTTTACTTTGTTTTTTCAGTCGGTGATCTCAACCATCTTATCTCTGCAACAATGAGTGGTGTTACCTGCTGCCTCCGCTTCCCTGGCCAGTTGAACTCTGACCTCCGGAAGCTTGCTGTCAACCTGATCCCTTTCCCGCGGCTCCACTTCTTCATGGTTGGATTCGCTCCTCTGACTTCCAGGGGATCCCAGCAGTACCGTGCCCTCACTGTACCAGAGCTGACCCAGCAGATGTGGGATGCAAAGAACATGATGTGTGCTGCTGACCCCCGCCATGGGCGCTACCTCACAGCCTCAGCCATGTTCCGCGGAAAGATGAGCACCAAGGAAGTTGATGAGCAGATGCTGAATGTCCAGAACAAGAACTCGTCATACTTTGTGGAGTGGATCCCTAACAATGTCAAGTCGAGTGTGTGTGACATTCCACCCATTGGCCTGAAGATGGCATCCACATTCATCGGCAACTCGACCTCAATCCAGGAGATGTTCCGCCGTGTCAGTGAGCAGTTCACCGCCATGTTCAGGAGGAAGGCTTTCTTGCACTGGTACACTGGTGAGGGAATGGACGAGATGGAGTTCACCGAGGCTGAGAGCAACATGAACGACCTGGTAGCTGAATACCAGCAGTACCAGGATGCCACCGCTGAGGAAGAGGACTATGAGGAGGAAGAGGAGGACGAGGAGGTTGCTGCCTAAGCCACCTCTCTGCATGTTTGAGCTATATAGATATCCCTTGTGACATTTGCTACTACTAGTTACCATCGTTGATTGGGGGTGCTTGTTAGATGCTAGGTTAATGTTATTATTTCCAAATACTATGTTGCCTTGTCGGACTATTTTTATCTGGGTTAATGGTATGTTCAACATTATTGTCTTGAGGTGGATTAACTGTTGGAAGTATGTAGCAAAGCTTGAGGTGGAATGCATATGAAACTGAACTTTAGCTTTGCAGGGCTTATTGGACCACCTCTGCGTGTTTGAACTAAAATGCCACCTCCGACGACCCCCTGGGTTATCAACTTGATTATAAAATAAATATTTTAGAAAATGTTTTTTTTTGGAAAGTACTTTTTTTTTTGCAAACTAACATGTTTCAATAATGACAAAGAACTGGCCCATTTGTTTGAGTTGACTAAAATTGTTGCGTTATGCTTGAACAAGTAAGATTAGTTCTGTAATCATCCGATTCTTTATATTCTCGGGTAAATCAATGAAACAATCTCCACATACAAACAAAATGATCTCTCTCTCTCTCACACACACACAAAAGAATAGAACGAATCCACGCATCTCAGCAGCCTCCAAAAGAATTCACCACAATGAGCAGCGAAAGCCCAGATTCTCAGCACTCCTTGGCACAGGCGCTCTTGGCCTTGTGCCTGAACAGCACCTTCTTCTTCCTGTGCGTCAGGTTCTCGACGGTGAGGACCACCTTCCCCGGCTCGCCGGCGCGGAACGAGTTGCGGACCGCCGCCTCCGACGACCCCATCTTCTTCCCCTTCTTGACGATGACGGTGTACGAGCCCTCCTCGCTCGGCACGAACTCCTCCTTGTAGTTCACCTCCCATCCCAGCACGGTCAGGTCCCATGTCAGCGTAGTGTCACCCTGAAACACGAAGATTTGGCTGATGCTAAGCAACTCTTGCAGATACAAATTTTGGTTTTGAGAAAATTTTGTTCAAACTAAATCGTGTTTTATACCTCTGTGGCTTCGATCTCGATGGTTTCGGTGGAGCTTGCCTTGACAACGAGCTCTGTGACTTCACTGTCCTCTGCCGAGAACTCGGTGTCGTCGTCGCGCTTCAGACCACCGTACTTCACTGGAATGGCTTCAATGGGAATGTACCTTCAGAAGAATCACACATTTTTGTCAAAGTTCGCTCCATAATTATGAATAAAAATTGATCAACATATTGCAATTGAGGCAACAAGATTGTGAAAAACTTGGTTCTTACTTGAGGAGGGTCTCGGTGACCTTGGAGGGCCGAGCAATGACGAACTTGCTCTTGGTCCTCTGCGTCATGAACGGGTAGAAGAGGGTGCTGAACGCGTAGTACCAGAACGGCACATTGATCAGAATCTGCAGTTCAATTGGCACAAAATTCAGTTAAATCCGACACACATTTGGATCTAAATTGGGCAGGAAGAGAAATTTATTAAAATCACAAGGAGTACTCACGTTTCTTGCGACGAGCTCAGGGTAGTTGTCCTGGAAGAGGTCGAGCACCTGCTTCATGGCGACGCGGAGGTCCTTCTTGGCCGGCCCCGGCGAGTTCTTGAGGTCCGTCACCTGCAGCAGCGACGCGACGCCGCCGGGCCTGAGGTCGAGCTTGGCCACGTGGCTCTCCATGGCGCGCACCCTCCACCGGAGGAACCTCGCCTTGCCTTCCTCCGTGCCGAGCGCCTTCTTGTACACGGCGTCGTCGGCGAACACGCCGAGCGCGTTGTAGCACACCGGGTGGCCCTCCCTGTCCGCGCCGTCGAGGTAGCACGCGTCGGCGAGCTCCGCCGGGAGCGCCTCGCCGTCGTCGTCGTCGTCGGTGCCGGCGGCGAAGCCCTTCCACTCCCTGCGCCAGTGGAGCGTCTTGCGGAGCATGTCGAAGGCGGCGCCGGCCTTGAAGTCGCGCGCGCGGAGGAACTTGAGGAGGACGACGTCGGTGGCGTCGTCGCCCTTGCTCGGCAGCAGCGGCACGCCCCACAGAGCGATGTCCTTGTCCACAACCGCCGCCGCCTCCTCCTCCGCCGGCTTCTCCTCCTTCTCGCCCTCGTCGGCTTCCTCTTTCTTGGGCTCCTCCTCCTCCTCGCCTTGCTCCTCTTCCTTCTTCTCCTCCGTCACCGGCTCCTCCTCCTCTTTCTTCTCCTCGCCATCTTTCTTCTCACCGGCGGCCTCCTCCACCGCCTTCTCCTCCTCCGCCGCCGCGGCCTTCTTCTTGGCCTCCACCTTGCCGTCATCGAACAGCTTGCCGTCGACGATGGCCTCCTCAACCTTGGCACGGAGCTCAGCCAACGCCTTCCTCTCGCCGTCCTTGAGATCATCCAGGAAGTTGCTCTCCTCCCTGAACGACGCGTTCTTGGACACGACGGCAGCCAGCGTCACCGCCTCATCCGCCGCCGCCTTCGCGGTCACCTCCTTCGTCTCCGGCGCCGCCACCTCCGCCGCGGCGGCCGCCGCACCCTCAGACACGACCTCCACCGCCATGGCTACCAACAACAAAACACACCAAAGCACAAGCAACAACAAACAAAAGATGCAATTTTTTTTGTGATCGTGTCAGAGAAGAAGAAGAGGAGGTGGGGAGTGAGAACGAGAGGGAACAAACGGGTGGGCTATATAGTACAAGAGCAACGGCTATGGCGAGGGAGCCAATGGGGTGGGGACACGTGTGCAGGTGGAGCGAGCCGTTGGGCCGGTGGGCTGGGGCCCGGTTCGCTTTTGCGGTGCCCAAGCTCGCAGCCGTAACCAACCAACAAACGGCTAGCTCGTTGAGTCGTTGCAATTTGCTGGGTTTTTTTTCCTTTTCTGCCCCCCCCCCCCCCCCCCCGCCCCACTTTTGTGTGGCAGGAAGGACAGAGCCAGAGAGAAGTGAGATGGCTATTGCTGTGCTAATGATAGGCTGTTCTTTGCTTTATTTGTGGGGGTCTTGTTGTTAATCTGACAGCTTGGGTGTTTGACTGGACAGCTGTGTTATACAGGAGTATTGTTCAACTGTTCATACGTAGGATTTGCATTTAGTGAGATTGTTTAATTGCAGTGCTAGCTGGAAAAAGGTGGTGGTATTATGTAGTGTAATACAAGGAGTAGCAATGGACAGGACAAAGTGTGCACTGGCCCCATACCAGTTGCAACTGAAGCACACCAGAGGGAGGCAATGCGCCGTTCCAGATGCCATTGCCAGCCACAGCCCACAGCTTTGCCCTTTGCTCGAGTGTCCAGCACTCCAGCTCCAGTTGTTTGCCTAACAGAAACAGCCAAAATGACAAGGTGTAAATAAACAAAGAGCTCAGTCCATAAAGGCCGGAGCATAAATAATGAGAAGTTAAACAAACGGGGATAAGCACTTGAAGCAGAACCCTACACGGTTGCAATCTTTGAGGGGGGATCAGATCACCACATGGCTGATAGTCATAAGCTTGGCTTGCATGTGTTTTTTCATGGTAGAAGAATCTTAAGACTCCACAATTTGGGTAATAAAAAATCATTAGATTCTGATCATAGATGTGGAAGCCTGGAATAAATACATCTGATGGATTAATAAACGCCCTTCCAGCAACTACAACTTTTGGAAGGGCATAGTACATAATAATCTGATGAAGTTTCCCTACTGATAGAATCCACCAATATGTTCATAGCACCTGGTGTAAAATTAACTACAATTGATGCTTTGATATACATCGCCCAAATAATGTCTTGTAGGCCATGTAACAAGGTTAACCATCTTCCCACCAAATTCTGCAGCAGACAGGTGACCTCCAAAGGGTCTTGTCGCAAAAAAAATACTGACCAGTCAGCTCCAGCATATGAAGTTGGCCACGGTCTCCAGTAGTGTGCAGCATCAAGAACAATATCGCTCCACCTTGTGCGATCGGTCAGTGAGTGAGTAAATCAAATCAGCGGATCTATCCTTTCCTCTGTGGGGCTTTTGCTACATTAGCGGCTGCAACAGCAGCCTTCTTTGCAGTATCTTTATCAGCATCCCTGAACTCACCACTAACCCTGTGGGGGCAAAACGATTGATTTGGTGATTTAGTTAGCAAGCAGCTTGAAGACTTGGTAAATATGAACTAGATATAGTACTTATTTACAGTGATACATACAAAAGTAGACAGAAAACTGACATATGGAATGGTTATAAAAGCATGCTCCATAAACAGACATACCGTTCATATGACAAGAAAGCATCTCCTATTTGTCCAATCACTTTGTTGCGCACCTTCCTCACACAAACCTGTGATAACCCAATCCAACCCCAACATAATATAAAAAAATACACGAGTTAGGCGAGGCCCTAAATTGAAGCATTAAGATTTTAACTTATAAGGTAATAAAGAGGGCAAAAGTAACCTGCACAACATCAAGTGGGCCACTGTTTGGATCCCTGTTTCGATGGATGACAATTCCATTATCACATTTGTTTATGAAATGTGCGCTTCCACTGATGTCATACATATTAGGAGGACCACCATTCCAGTTATGAAGCTAGCAAAGCAGTAACAGCATGTAAGGCTAATTGTGTATTCAATAATGTTACAAAGATTAATATGCAACTATGTTCAATCTTCTTACCTGTCTAGGGTGGGCAACAAACCAAACATGACAAGAATGGTGCTGAGCAAACCGCTTAATCTTGGTAAGCATCTGACTGACATATTCTGTTTCGGTTCTGTCAATGGCACAATACAGTAAGGAAAAGCAAACATGAAGTTAAGTGCTTGAGAGCCGAGTATGGTTGAGGCCAAGGCTGTGTTCGGTGGTGAGGGTTGGGAACCATTCAACCTCGGCACACAAAACGGAGGAGCAAATTAGTGAATGACTAATTGAATATTAGCTAAAAATATCTGAAAAAAAAGGAATTAATATGATTTTTAAAAGCAACTTTCCTATAATTTTTTTTTTGCAAAAAACACACTGTTTAGTAGTTCAGAGTTCAGGAAGCGTGCGCATGGAAAAGGGAGTAGAAGTTGGGAAAAGGAAGTTTCAAGGAAAGTTGCTTTAGAAAATCATATTAATCCATTTTTCAAGTTTTTTTTAGCTAACACTTAATTAATCACATGCTAATGAGTCGCTCCGTTTTCCATGATAGAGAGAGGTGTTCCAAACCAGCCAGTTCGAATGCAGCATATGATAACACCATGTATCACTAATGACAAATTCAATCTTAAAAAGAGGCTTAGGCAATGCTTACTGATTTGAGGGGCGTTGGTGATCAAGTTCATTGTAGGGATCAATCACAAGACCACGCACTCCATATCTTAGAACTGCAGCTTTAGCAAGCTCGAGAACCCAATTAACAGATGGAAGGCAATCATCTTCACACCTGATTAATTAAGCAGATTCAGTGTCACAAACAAGAATGTAAACCTGTGTATACAAATCATCATTAGGAGAGGCATATTATCCAAGAAAAGCCAGGAGATCTTATTGCATTCCAGCATATTACTACAATAAGAGTACTAATACAAGGCTAGGGTTGACGGAAAAAGGAAAATGGTTTGCACCCAACCAGCAAATGTGGAGTATGCAGATATAGTTGGAGAAGCTGAACACCCCAGCAAAAAAATGAACTAAAGCTGACTTTAGTGAAATTGGCTAACCCATTGTGACAATTATGTTATCAAAAGATATAAAATATACCGGATCAGATGGAATGTTTCATTCAGCCATTGCTTGCCTTCTTCAAATTCGTCTAGACTCATTCTTTCTGCAGAGCCCCCATATCTGTATTAAACAAGGATTGCTAAACCAATTACACATAACAACATAACCTTCAAAACAAATACTGCAAACAGCCAACTTAAGTCCAACTTCTCAGCACATATGATTCATAAAACCATTTATCCCGAGAGGATTTCACATTGAACTTGCCAGGCATAATCACAGAGGCTTTTGCTGTGTGCTTCTCAAAATGCTCAAAAGACAGGGATTATCATGAGATTAAACACAAATATATTACTTACCTAGCATCAAAGAATGGTTTCTTAATGCGCTTCTCTAAGAGCTTTCTAGCATGCTCCCTGACCTAAATACCAAAATAACCATTATTTGAATCTCCCCAATGACATTAATAGTTAATTTAGTACCATCAGTAATTGCTTGCCTTGTTTTCCATTGAGCACAGAACGAATTTCCACCCAACCTGGTCATTTATATTGCACAGTAAAGCATCAATCCACTCACTTTTACCAGAATTCGGCACTCCTGTTACTACAGTCAACTCCCCAGGAACAACCTACAAAACAGAAAACAACAGAACCATGATGAATTGTTTATGATGGAAGAATGATAAAAAAGGTTTGACAGCACAATTTCCCGTGCTTCTAGGAAGTGTAGATCATCTAGGTTCAAGTCACAATCAGATTTAGGTGATAGTTACACTCAAGGGAAAAAATATGCACTTCTCTAAGTTGCTCTTAGTCAAGTCAGCAAATAATTTCTGCATGCCTATATTGGAAATGCATGCAGATTCATGGGGTAAAAACAGTGGGCAATAATTGTTTACATTCTACGCCCAAAATAAAAAAAAAGTTAAGTGATGCCATCGAGAACAGAGTGATGCAAACAAGATGGGTAGCTCCAACAAATAAATATAGCGAAAGAAAACAAGCGAATACAAAAAAAATAGGCAAGCCAGATTTCAGGTCCAACATACAGCAATAAGTATGAGCATAACTGAATGCAACTAAGAAATACCTTGTAAAGCTCATCCATGGATTTCCATCCAGTAGGAACACCAAGCTCATCCCCACGGATTCCAAGATAATAATTATCGATCTCAGGGAAGAAATCTTTGAAGGAGAAAAGACCTCTTATGGGATACAGTTCCGCGTCTTCTATAACCTTTCTCAATGCTTGTGGTCCTAAAAACATCAGTACCTGTAGTAGAAAAGGGCATTACGAGGTCCAGTGTCAGAAGTTCTCAAACTCTAACTTGCAAAATGATGTGATGTCATATTCTCATTTCAACAAAATGGAGCCAATGGCAGCAACAACTCAATTCATACATGATCATATGTTTCAGATGGTCCATCAGGACGTAGATGCAAAGCACACAAAAATCATTATAGATTTTTTTCTTGACGGAAAAAAACTTATAGATTTTTAATAAGAATATCTGCACAGATATATGGACATGCTGAAGCTTATAGGGAGCACTACTAATACTAATACCATAATTTAGGGTTAGGAAGCTTATGCCTCAATAGAAATTCTGAAGTTGAATAAAAACTCATCTTGGAAACCATATTCTAGAAATAGACTATTTCCTCACACTTCAAGTCTTACACACTACCTTGCAGGGCCAGACCGCCTGTAAATTCTAGTATACATTTCTGCATAAAATACAAGACCTAAAAGGACAAGGAGTTTGACTGCATATTTATCATAGTATATAAACTAACTTCCTGTGAAGTTACAGATCAATATGATAATTTGGTACGCACTAAGCAGTTGATAGCCTCAATCAATTAATTAAAAATAATATATAAATGTAAGTTCAGTATCATGCACATATCAACAGCCTTAACTTGTACATTGATTTAGCTAAATTCACAACTATTATTTACACCCGAGGTAGCCAACTCATGTTTATTAACTGCCACACTAGCCTCATATGTCAAATACTTCAGCCAGGAACAGCCATTAAGGATAGCATATACACAAACAAAAGGAACAACATGTTTACTGTTTAATCAAGTTGTAACTACAATGAGAAAATCAGTCCAACTTTAGGGGTAAGATATAATGTGCAAGTCAGAGGAACCCATGTATGCCATGACAAACCTCATTTGCGTCTTTGCAAATTTCGTTCTCGTTCTTCTTTGGCCAATTGACCCTCCAGCATCTGATTGCATCAAGTTAAATACAATACATGAGGGCTTTTATAATCATTCTTATTCATCACGAAGCTTATGATAGCAACACACTGATACACAAACCTTTCTTTACCAAGACGACGAGCAAGTTCCTCAGCCAGAGCCTGCCCTGGAGGATCAGCATCTGTTGCCAGTATTATCCTAGACGCCTGTTTCCATGGCAAATAAAGGAATTAAAATGATACCTGTGTATCTCAGCTACACAGTTCTATAAACAAATTATTCTGAGATAATAAAATGCCCACCGGGTCAAGATATTCTTTGCAATTCCACAGATATTGGTACTTCTTATCCTAGCTTTACAGGGAACATAAGCAACTGTTAGGTCGCAGATTAGCTAAAACTGTACCAGAGATCAACACTCAAACTGAAGAATATAATAGTGACAAGAAGACATAAGTTGTCGTGAATCTTGAGGGACAAAAACTTTGGCAACAGCAGAAAGTAGCGCTAACCTGATCTTTATCTGGGAGCTTGCTGGATACTTTCGGTGGTGCACCATCTGGTACACTGACACAATTACGGTAGCCAGCTTCTTCCATTGAGAGCTTATCAATTTCACCCTCAACCTGCCATGTCAGTAAGGAGAACAAACAACTAAAAATCTGGGAATATGAAAACATTGGCACAAATCTTCAGGAGCAATATGCAAAAAGAATATCAAGTAACAGATTTTGAACATACAATGATAATATCTCGTGCTCGCTTTATATCGTCCAGACCATATAAAATTTTCTCTGTGTTTGCTTCCTGGTATATAAGTGCAAAAATAAGAACAAAAGAAATATAGCATAAGCTCATACACCCTAAAAACGAGTAGCACCACAAACCTGTGAAAATTTCTTAGAGACTTCCCTGTATTTGCAGCCAACGAGGACCCCATCACGCCTGTAGGTGAAAGCAATAACTATCTGCAAACAAAATGTACTTACAATGCTAACACAAAGATGTTGTATCCAAAGCAGATCTACGGAAATGCATCCATCTATACCTTATTACTCCAGTTACGCTGCATTACGCTGTTTCTCCGAAGTGTTTCTGGCGATATCATTCTCTCTGAGAAGTATGTTACAAGCTGCCAAAATGTGATTGTTTTGTAGAACACCCATGTGCAAAAACTTCTATTAGGATTCATCAAAGAAGAATGGGAAAAGAATAAAAACAACAAGAAACTTTTGATGATATTTGTACAGTAATTGGTAATATTCCAGCCTAAAAAACAATTTCTTACCTCATCGCAAAGTGGCTCAAGATGGAGGTCCTCCTCACAAATTTTTCTGTAAACCTTATTGACTGCCAGATTAGCTTCACCATCCTGGTCCGTTTCACATTCTGTATTATTTTTTGCTTGTGATAGTTTGAGAACTCCATCAGGCTGCAGAGAGAACAATAGTGATATCAGGACATTTTATTAACTTCAATCTTTATTCCTATATTTATTTGGTAAAGGCACCTCGACAAAACCCTTCCAACCACAATTAGCTCTAAAACATTGCCATGCAGCATTTTTCCTGAAGAACAAAAATAGGAGAAACATCAGATGAGACAGGCCGTACTACATCTGAAGAAGTAAAAGTTGAAGAAGGGTAAATATAAAATCTCACCCATCCATTCGGATCATAACACTGAGGCTCGGCTCCTCAGTAGATCCCCCATTGCACTAGTGAACATATGGAAAGTAATACTCATCATTGCTGTCTGATAGCTCAGCATGTAAAGTAAATGGATCACCAAAGGATCATGAGCAGGTGAGCATGCTATAAGTAGAAACTAGTGGGTTTTATGAACCAGCCACCAAAACGATGATACTTTATGATACAGGGGTAGGCTAATCAAATCAGATACTAGTAGAAAACAATGGATTTGATGCCACAATGTCTCTCATTTCTCTTGATGTCTTAAACCACAAAACAATTGCTTCTTATCTAGCTAGACACTTCTAGCCTCATCTTTCCGCTTAAGCTTATGCTTATCAGCCAAAATTTGAATTTTCAACCTTAAATTTGAAGTTGATTTTGGGGTTTTTTTCATCAAAGTTTATTCTTCAGCCTTTGCTTTTAGATCGCTAAGAACACGTATATAAAAGTTTTATTCACAAATTATTTTTCGTTTGCAAATATGCCATTTGGCTTATTCCACGAATAAGCCAAACGATGGGGCTCTTCATGTAAAAAAGGGAAACATGACCAATAATTAGAGTAATTAAAAAGAAACGCACAATACCTTTGGGCACATCATTCGTTGATAAGTACCAAGCCTCCATTGCTTTGGACTTATTCCTTCTTTCTTCAGTCTCTCAATTAACTGTCCTAGTCGCTGCTCGCAACCCTTTTTGTAGTTTTCCGTTGAATGAACTGTTATCCAAAGAGACACGACATCAACGGAAAGTATCACCGCTACTACATCCAATTGTTATAGATCACTTGCAAATGCTCAAACTATGACATGTACGCCGCCTAAGAAGAACAAGTGGGCACCAGAACTGCGAAAACAAGGCAGACATAATGCCTTGGACGAACAGTTCACTCAAACTGTCACAAAACAGTAAAAGCGCTCCAAATTAATGTGACAATTTCAACTAAAGGAGTTTGAAAGAGTAGAATCAATCAATCAAAACGATTTACCCAGCACGATTGATTGAAATCCTCAAGGAGTTCCTGGCGATAAGAAGTTAAGAACACAGCATTTGGGAGGATTAACAGCTAAACGCCTAAAAGTACAGTAGTAACGAGCCACGAAATTAATCGGAGACACGCCATTGAGAAGCGTATTCCCAGAGACCGATCTCCTAGTAAAACATGGCGAAAACAGTATCGCGCATGTTCGGAGCTCGAAAGCGAGTTGTTCCATACCACTCCTGGAGCGAACGGCGACGGGGCTGGCGGGCCGCGGCGCGGGTTCAGTCCTGACGCAGCAGGCCACCTCGTGCCTCCCCCGCCGGCTCGCGGCGGAGAAGGCGTGGAGCAGCCGGATACGGTGGCCCCCCGCGGCGAGGGCGGCGGCGGGGAGGCGGCGGCGCGCGGCGAGGAGGAGGCCGGAGTCCCCGCCGGCGGCAGCGGAGGCGGCCATGAGGAGGAGCGACTGGAGGGAGGGGCGCGGTGGCATCACGAGGTCTAGGGTTTCGCCGCGCGGGGCATGCGGGGCGCGGAGCAGAGGAGGCGAGAGGGGAGGGGAGAGGGGCTTGGGGAAGAAGAAGAAGAAGAAGGAGGAGGGAGGAGAGGATGGAGTTTGGATTGGGTCGCGGAGGTTTAGGGTTTTACACATCGGACATGTGGGCCCCACCACCTAGAGATAGATAGAAAGAGATTGGGTTTTGGAATAGAGCTGTCAAAAAAGCTCTCAAGCTGCTCAGAAAATCTCAGAGCTCTCAAGCTGCTCGAGCTTGATTCGTTACAAGCTTGAATACTAGATAAGCCAAGCTTAAGCCTAGGCTGAGGCTCGCAAGCCTAGCAAGCTCGAGCTCGAATAGTTTGGCAGAGCTTGATTAGCATAAGATGCATTATATTTAGGAATATGTTCTTATGGATCAATGTATACTTATCACTATGCTTGACCTGCTTAAGTCTTAAGACCTCATCAATGCTTCTCAATAAAACAATTATCCGGCTGCTAGTAATAGTACTACTATTCCTATTAGATGTAGTAGCTAGCTTTTGTTAATTGCAACGTTTCAAAGCCATAAATTCATGAGAAAAGCTGCATAGGCTTCATTCAAAACGAGTAGCACCCATTAATTTTGACTACCGATAATTTGCATTAATATCTTTTATACAAGAGTAAGTTCTTTGAAGTTCCACCAAGTCAAGCTGTCAAGCTCAAGTAGGCTCGAAGCTCGCTCGAGCTCACTCCCAAGCTCGATCAGTATCCAGGCTCGGCTCGTTGACAGCCCTATTTTGAAAGGTTACATTCTTTTCTCTAAACCCTAAACCTAGAATTGATTGAATGATGATTAAGATTTTCATGGTACGCTTTTTAAACTGTGGAATGGTATGTTTCGTATGAAAACTTTCTATATGAAAGTTGCTCTAAAATATCATATTAATCTATTTTTTAAGTTTATAATAAATAAAACTCAATTAATCATTCATTAATACCACCTTATTTTATATAAAAAAAAACTTAATCTTCATCTTCAGAAGAAAAAAACACAACCGAAGATAAAAAAAGGACAGGATTTGAAACGTAGGTGAAAGCGGATGATGTAGTTCGAAAAATAGAGTTGCACGGATACGTGAGAAATTCATAGTACAAAGTTGTTTTTGAATTTACACCAAAAGGAAAGTTTGATTTGTATTTTGAACTTGTGCTACTCTCTCTGTTCTAAAATATAGGGATCAGAGTATATCTAAGTTCATAGTAAAGCGTTCATGAAAAAGTTTATAGTAATATATCCCATTCAAACAAAATCTTTTTATATTTTAGGAGTAAGGGAGTATAAACGAAACGCCAATTCAGAAACTTTATCCCCAAAAAGATTAAAAAAAAGAAAAGCTAAATCGCGCGTGGGCCCAAGTAGTAGTCCTCCTCCTAACTCAGGCTAAATCTGGGCCACTTCTAGGCCCAGTTTAAGCCTTAGCCCAGCCAAGCCCAACAACAACCTCCCAGGCCCAATTTTTGTCGTGCCTATATATTGCTGTTGAACTCTTATTTGCCTTCTTGATCCGGTACCAATTTGAATCACCAATCCCATTGAATTCAAAGTCTCCTGCTGTTTCTTTGTTGACCAAATGACAAATACCATACCTGCGACCGAAGGTGAAAGTACATTTTACGGGACCATCCGTGATCGATCCTTCATCTAGCAGCTAGTTGCTGTAACTTTCCCAAGTCCTCGTCGTCGTCTTCTCCCAGCTAAGCAATTAAGATGTCTAAAGCTGTAGGTTTAAAACCTGTAAAAGTTGCAATCAATCAAGCTCGAGAAATCTTGGCCGATCGATAAATGTACTGTACAGAACGTATAGCTAATTTCTGCCGTCTCGATCGTCGCTTTGGCTGGAGTAGTAGCTAGACTTTGATGATGCACATCCCTGGTTTTCCAAGAGCAAATAGAGTACATCTGGTCAATAGGAAACGTGCTGTCATGTAGCCACTCTATTGATTCAAAGATCATGGCCGCGGACGTCGTACACGAGAGCGGAGTCGTCGATCTGGTCGTCCATGCTGACCATGTATGTAGCAGTACGGTTGCTTCCTCGTTCCAAATTACTTTATCATTTTTAACTTCATCTTAGTTAGTCAGACATTTCTAACTTCGAGTCTCAAATTCTAAAAATTCACCTAGTTTAACACCGTAGATTTATACATGTTTTTGGATTTTCTGAACGTACATATTGTTAAAATATATAATTTCAATCGGTGATACTGCGTCAATAAATTTGCACGTTGTATATTAAATAAATGTCGATCGACGATGTATCTATACTTTCAGTAAAGTTATAGTCCAATAAATCTAAATCTCAACATGCATGTCACATCGTCACCCACTAGTAACAATTGCATATCTAACCTTGTACAAGCATATAACATCATCTATAATTTATTTAATTATACAAATCAACATGCAAGCGTATCCAATCATCACCCCTCACATTATTTGCACGATATTTTAACAAATTTATCTATTATTTTATAATATTTAACATATATTTATCAATATATTTCACATTAAAGTACGGGTATCATTTGTTCGTTTTACGATAAGTATTGATAAACTCTAATGTTTTATTATTATTTTTCCTTTTACTCATAGTTTGACTGTCGAGAAAAATGTATTAATCAAGATGAAGTATGTTCGCGTTGCATGGTTGGCGTACGTGTTGACAAGCATGCATGCATGAATCGATGGATATAAACTACTATTGTACTAGTAGTGGTCAAACACCAACTTGTTTGTGTCTGACAAGAAAGGGAAGAGAAAAACAATAGCGTGTTCAAACATCGTCAAAGGCCAGGCGTCTCGGTTATACAGACAACTTGTTGAGAACACGGACGGAACGCCCAGCTGATTATTCAGAACTACATGCAATTGGCAACTTGTGCATGGCTGCATCATGCATATGCTTCGCACAATAGATGTGCATGGAGATGGTGACTTGTAAGAGGGAGAACGCGTCATGCTGTCATGCATGCATGTTGATTTGATTCAGTCCTGAATCATGAACTCCTCACATAAACGTATTCCGATATAAAATTGATGGTAATGATTATAAGATTTTAACTGAATCTTGTCCTAAAGAATTCAAACACTTATGATCAAAGGGTACATGATAATTAAATGTTTGAACTATAATACGGAGTATATTCATATTTTTGTGGTGGGCGCAGTCGAATTTCGAGCTATTCTTTTATAGTTTCTAATCTTACTTCATGTATTATTGTATTTTCTTCGCATTGTTTGTTGTGGATGACACTGATCGATATATCATATACCAAAGTCTGGTGTGGAATTGAATTAAAAAAAAACTACAAGCCTTTGCTATTCAAAATATATCCCAAACTTTAACTGGCTTGCTCTTCTTGCATGCACATATTTATTTTTCAAAATGCAATAACACAATGCAGCTAGATAGGAAAAGAATGTTGTTTTCAGCTTTCTTTTCGTACTTTCTTCAAAAAAATACATATATTTATTTTTACCCTCAATTTACCCAGGCCAATCCCAACCCAATACACTAGATATAGTTTCCATAAACTCCACATCATCAAGAAACTAGTACTCCACTAGACACTACTTTTCTAATACAAACACCACTATCCATACTTAAAAATTTAATGCTACTTATCTCACATGATGTATTGGATGTTATGTAGAAACTATGTTTATGCAAAATATGGTTTCCTTCTCTTTCCTCATTTATTCACTTGCCACATCATTTTTCATTCTAGGTGGTAGCCTATTTAATGCTATAGACACCATCCTAGTTATTGAGTTGGAAATGACCCCATACTCGTTATACGTACGAAAATCCATTAATGACAGCAAAATCAATAGAATAGAAATGCATGCTGAATAATTCATGAATTATTATTCCAATGGACATTTCTGACAGGATCATATCGATTGCAATCAGCACATAATATTAATAACCATAGGTAAGACATGGATGAATACCAAAGGAGAAATTAAAGACCACTTGAGAAGTCACCGAGTCTATATCTCGATCGATTTGGCATTCATCAGCACTAACTAAGCTACTGAATAGTTAATCAACATCCTACTATAATTTTTCAGAAACTCAATTGAAGAGAAGTCGATCGAGATCTCTCATCTCTCATCTCATCTGCTTAATTTGCTCAATTAATTCATCAATTAATCGAGCTGAGATCGCGGTTAATAACAACGGATTAATTAGCTCTTGGCGGCGGCGGTGGCGGCGTGGAGGACTTGCTGGAAATGGCTGACGTCGCAGGGCACACGGAGGATGCCCTCCTGCTTGTACCCGAACTCCTGCGCCGCCTTCTCCAGCAGCGCCGCGAACGCCGGGTGCCGCAGCGCCTCCACCCGCACCACGAACCGCTCGCCGCCGCCGCCGCCGCCATCGCCGTCGCCGCCGTTGTCCCCCACCATCACCGGCACGCACCCGCGCGGCACGCCGTCGCCGCCGCCGCCGCCGCCCGCGCGGTCCGAGAAGCTCAGCCTCCTCATCAGCCCGCGCTTCACGGCCGCCGCCGCGCCGCCGCCGCCGCCGTCGCCGCCGCCGCCGCCGCCAACGCGGTCAGAGAAGCTCATCCTCCGCATCAGCTCCCTCATCGTCGACACGTTAAGCTTGTGGGGTTACCAACCGGCACCGATTAGGGTTTCTGTGTTAATTAGAGAGGATTATTTCATGCATGCGTTTGCTCATCATCATCAAGGATCGGGGCGCCATTTATAAGGAAGAGAGATCCATGGGATGGAATGGAATGGAGTGGCTTACATTCTATCAGAACGGCTGCCACTTGTTGCTAGTAGCATGAGCGTGTGGAATAATGATTTCACTGATCAGTGACATAGACAAGCTAGAGAGAGAGATGTGGCATGGAGGTAATAATGGATTAATTAAGCAGGAATTGAATGGAGAGAGAAGACGTTTACTAGTCTGTGCATATGGTTGGCGTTGGTCCTGGGGTTAACCTTATGAAGTTGGGGTTCAAAAATGTTGGCTATCATATATGAGCATCTTTGAAAGTTAAGACCGTGGAATTTAGTGATTAGATGAATGCAATAAGTAGTGGCAGTAATTAATTATTTAATTAACCTATGTAATTGAGATACTCCCTTACGGCGGGCAATGCAAAAAATACTTGATAATTATATTATATCAAATAAAAAATTGATGTCTGATATTAGTTATACGGATTTAACGTGGAAAACCCTCTTATACTAACCACCCCTCCCTAAAAAATCACAATAATTTACGATGACTGAGAACTCAACAGAACTTACGACACACTTCAATTTACGAATCTCTACTAATAAATATCAATTGATTAGATTCCTCGCGAAATTTCAATTTCAACTAGCTAGCCAGATCAGCTAATCAACAAATTCACTCTCTCAACTGCACTGATTATAAAATAATCCCGGATATCCCTAAATTTGGATTGTTCCACACCTAAACCCCATGCAGCAGCTAAAAGATGATTATATGGCACATTATTTAATTCAAACCAGGAAATTCTTCTTCTTCCTTCCGGTGGTCTCAGGGTCGAACCATTTAATTTGTCTGGTTTTGGAACGTGCAAGCTGGTATTCCATGGTGGGCTTGAAATTGTTGCTGAGTGCGACAGTGGAAGGGCAGAGCGAGGATACTAGCTACCCCTGTTGACAAACACACACGCAAAATCGCTTTTAATTTTTGTATTATCAGACGAACCAACAAATCAGCCAGTTAACATTACATTATTTGGAAACAGAAGATGAATAAGCCTGAAGACCGGAGTAATATTTCTAGATGACATGATGATGCATGATTTGGAAATTTGCTAATCTATTCTAAAACAAGATGTAGCTAGCTATATATAGCTAGTTAGGTGTTAGAATTTTATATGCGGACCAACCGGCCCATAGCCTAGAAACGTAATGCTACGTATGCATGATAAGTGGCTTAGCATATTTACATGCATGATTTAATTTAGAGGCTGGTTCTGTTTGATCGTGCTCTGAGAATTTTCACCTAGCTATAGCTAGATACACTCTCAGGCGTTCGATCGATTTCGAAGGCCAGGGCATCATCCAAACACAATATGCAAACAGAACCAGGCCTTTGGACCGACCATAGTATTAATTAATCGCTTCATTTTCTTTATTTAATTTATTTATTATTGTTATCTTTTTTTTTCAAAACTAATGGCTAATAGATAAATGATTTGTGATAATTATTCGAGGATAGAAACGAAGGAATTAATATTATAAAGTTAAAAATAGATTAATTCAAACTATCTTTTAAGAAGTATACTTTTCTAAAAAAAATCGTACCATTTAGAATCTCGGGAAGCATGTGCATTTATCACATCGCTCCATTCGTCGAAAGAGAACAACATGTGGCCATATATACGCATGAGCGCACACGAGTGCAAATATGACTTCATATATAGCGCAATTAAACATATATACTAAAGCAAAATATATACTAGAATTTGAATCCTAGCTACTCCCCCGTCCCAAAAAAAGGCAAACCCTGGGTTTTCGTGTCCAACTTTGGCTGTCCGTCTTATATGAAATTTTTTTATAATTCGTATTTTCATTGTTGTTAAATGATAAAACATGATTAATATTTTATGCGTGACTTGTCTTTTTAATTTTTTTCATAATTTTTTCAAATAAGACGGACGGTCAAACGTTGGGCATGGAAACGGAGGGAGTAGTTTTTAAAAAATAACACGGACCACAAGTATCGGTCGGAGTGGTCCACTAGCTAGCTAGTTTGATCTGAAACAAGGCACGTACTCCCTCCGTAAAAAAAAAAAAAAGACAAACCACACAATCAGTAGGCTCGATCGCTTTCGAGTGGATCAACCCTCCGACCAACCCGCGCACGGACGTCGGCGTCAGATCACGGCGCGTGCGACTTGACTAACGACCTTAACCTGATGAGCGTGGTCGCCGCGTTCAACAACTTTGCAAGCTAGCTAGCCGCGATGCATCCAGGAACAAGCCGGTAGGGCGGGGCACAGGACGCGCCTAGTACTACGGCTACTACTGCAGGCTGCTACGTACAACGTACGCAATGCAATTCTCTCAAGACTGCAGCAGCTTAATCCTATCTTACTATAAAATTATCCCCCACTAACTACTTAAGCTTAACATGCAAAGATGCCACATCATTATCCACTAACAATAATCACATTTAAACATCATGCAAACATGCTATATCTTTATATATTTTTTTAATTTAAGAGCTTTTCAAATACAAACATGTTAAATTATCATCTAACGTAATTCACAGAATATTTCAATGTATATTTGTTATGTTTTATGATATCCTATATACTTATATAGTTCATCCTCACTTAGTTAGTGTTTAAATGATTAATCTATGGTACAAATTATCTTTCTCCTTTTTCCCTCTAATTAAGTCATATCACATCAATTGTTTTTAGCCTTTAGATGATTAATCTACGGTCAAACTATCTCTCTACCTTTCTTCTTCCATAAAGTCATACCACCTTATTTTTTACGTTTGAATCACCATTCCACATACTATTTAAATTTAAATTATCATAAACCACATTAATTTACTTAATCTGATGTTATCTAGCTATCTTACACGTTATTTTTTTAATTGTTATCATACTAAATTCCCGCAGCAATGCGCGGGGTTTCACTTAGTTATCCTATAAGTAAAACTCATTTAATTTTGATCAAAAGTTTATAAAAAAAGTTTGTCATAAGTAACACTAGATTAGTTTTATTAATTAATTAGATCCCAATTGAATATATATATCATATTTTTATATATTTGTTTTGCATGTAGAAAATAATGCCATGTTTTTGTTTTTCTGATCAGACGTGAAGAGGTTTGACTTCAAATAAATTAGACATCAAACATCTAATTACAACATGAAACAAACGGAGTGTGTACTACTTATCTAGTAGCTTATACTATACTTCTATCTCTGTTCCAATTTAAGGGCAATTATCAGTTTTCGTGTTCAACGTTTAACCGTCCGTTTTATTTAAAGTTTTTTTTAAAAAAATAGTCACACATAAAGTATTATTCATGTTTTATCATCTAATAACAATAAAAATACTAATCATAATTTTTTTCAAATAAGACAGACGATCAAACGTTGTTAAACCTTGTAAAACTACAACCTTTTTGTAACGGAGGTAGTAAGATTTTTATTTTTAGTTTTGCAACCCTGCCAGCGTAATCAACTCTAGCTAATACGGCCAGACTCGGACTTCTTCATATATAAACAGTAGATTTAGCCATGTTACAATACTACTAGTGTCTTCAAATTAAGCATAATTGAAGCACATAATTATGGGGTTGTCAATTTAATCTTTATAAATATATGTACTATGTATTAATACATTTTTAGATAATAGAAATGGTTACATTTCCGGTCTCTGTCAACAATCACACACACAGCCAATATATGAGTTTAGCGTTGAAGAAAAAGGAAAAACAAAATTGAGTGATGGAACAAGCCCCCATCCATCCAAAACAGAACAGAAGTTCATTAGTTACCAATTTCATGAGGGCTAGCAATTCCATGAGTGTACATATATAGTACCACTGCGCATGGTATCCTACTACTTTTGATAGCATCAAATACCAAGTACGAAGCTAATTGGTAGACATGAAGATAACCCAGCAATTTTTTATTATAAAAAATTATATCATTTCGGTAATACCAAATTGACCATATAGTACACTAACCACAAATAAAATCGATTTTTTTTGGACCTGGCCGGTATTACCATAAACCAATTTCCAAATAAATACATACGCTGGCGATTGTTTAACTCGTGGCTTAGATACACCATTAGACCGGTAATTCATATTCGCTAGCTTGTGGGCACCGCAAGTGGTCCCCTTCAACTACATACGAGGTGTCTTCATGTGTCCCTGTACGTATATATATACGTCTTTGTCTTCGTGCACCACCATACGTACGCTAATTCGAAGCTTCCTTTCATCTTCACATGGAGAACGAAAACTGCTAGCTAGTCTGCTACAATTGATTTTTTCCACGCCATTCGTTTTCTCGAGATGTCGTTTTAGGGGCAGTTTAATTTATCCTTTTTTTTCTATCTAGTAGGAGTATATGCGCATGGAAAAATCCTAATCAGTGAACGCTCTCTAGCATGAACTCCGCATAAAAAACGATCAAACATATCAACAGCTTAATTTGCATTTTCTTTAGTTCCTTTTCTATTTTTTTCCTTATTATATTATATAGTTTTATGTTGGAATTGAACAGGTGCATCGGTTTTCTGGAGAAAGGAACACTCACCGCTTCTTTATCAGAGTTTGAGAAGAAAGAGAAAAACACCTCACTCAATATTGAATAATTTTGTTTCAGATATAAACATGCTATCTTTAAGAGAAGTTTGCGATATGATAGGAAGTTTTTATTGAATTTTCTAATTGAAATATCTTTTTATATTTTTCGAAAGTTTTTTTGTTACAACGCAACGCAGCAGCTGTAAGTCTGTAACCAGTGCTTTGTTATTGGCTACTTTTTTACGGAGATATTTTTTTTGTTGATATTGGTTACTTAATTTGATCATCTTTTTGAGTTGACAGCTACATTAATTAGCACAGCTGTACGTACCGGTACTGCTTGCAAATGGACATCAATAAATTAATTAATATTACTGCTTAAAAGACCATGCCTAGTTTGTAATAATTTCCATATGCAATATACAAGAATTGACCGTAGACCAACGGGTGTGTATTATTTTCTTATCAAGCCGTAGCTGACAACCAATCGAAAAGACCATGACGAGTCTACGATGATGTCACTCTCTTCTCTAAGGTTAATTTCCAACAAGATGATTAGGTGAATGATAATCGTCTTAGCCATCCATCCATTTTACTGTTTCCTTCTAGAAACCACATGAGTGGCCACTGTACAATTCTTTTTCCACATGACAGGAT